GTCTCCGCCCCTCAGGGCTTGGAAGAAGGGTAGGCTGCGTTCTGCTGATTTTGAGATGAATCTATTGAGCGCTGCTATTCTTCCCGTCAGCTTTTGCACTTCTTTCTTGTTTTTGGGTTCTACCATTGTCATTATTGCTCTGGTTTTGTCCGGGTTCGCTTTGATGCCTTCGCTGCTTATGATATATCCAAGCATCTTCCCTTTTGTGACTCCAAATATGCATTTTTCTGGGTTGAGGTGGAGGCCGGCTGTCCTGAGGTTGGCGAAGGTCTCCTGTAAGTCGGAGACATGATCATCCTTGCTCTTGCTCATGACCACTATGTCGTCGACGTAAGCTATGATGTTTCTATCTAGTTGTGAGCCCAAAACTTCCTTTGTCATTCTGGCAAAGGTCGCGCCAGCATTTTTGAGGCCTTCCGACATTCTGGTGTAGCAATATGTCCTAAATGGAGTTGTGAAACTTGTCTTGTCTTTGTCTTCTTTTTTCATCCAGATTTGGTGGTACCCAGAGAAACAGTCGAGTAGAGAGAACCTCTGGCATCTGGCTGCCTTGTCGACGGAGGCATCTATTCTTGGCAATGGGAAAGGGTCTTTTTTGCAAGCTTTATTCAGATCTGTGAAATGCACATTCTCATTTTGCCATTCTTCTTTGGTACCAGTACTACGTTTGCAAGCCATTCTGAATACTTGACTTCCCTGATCACTTTTGCATCTAGCAATCTTTGCACCTCCACCTTTGCTGCCAGGATTCTGTCCTCCGACATTTTTCTCTGTTTCTGCTTTCTTGGTCTCATGTTTTCATTGATATCTAGTTCATGCTGTATGATGTCCCTGCTGACTCCTTGGAGGTCGGAGGCTGACCAGGCGAAGATATCCTTGTTTTTTACTAGAGTTTCCATGAGCTCTTCCTCCTCTGCCTTGCTCAATTCTGAGCTGATTGTTACTTTTCTATCTGGTAACTCCTTTTCTAGAGGGATCAGCTTTGTCTGTTCTTGACCTGCCATATCTATTTTTCCTCTGGGCATATCCAGAGACTCTTGTTCTTTGTCTACCGACTCGACTGCATTGATGTTTCTTTGGGCTCTGTAGATAGCTTTTTCTATGTTTCTTGCTTCTTTTTGGCTGCCTCGGACTGTGATAATACCATGGAGTGCTGGTATTTTCATGCACAGGTAGGCCATATGCAGTGCTGCATTGAATTTGGTTGTGAATCCTTTGCCCAAGATGGCATTGTACGGGTAATACAAATCGACGATGTCGAAGGTTATGTACTCGGTTCTAGCATTTGCTTGGGTTCCGAACGACACTGGGAGTGATATTTTTCCTAGTGCTTGTATCTGCTTGCCTCCGAATCCTATTAAAGGGGATTCGGAGGGCTGTAATTGATTTCTGCTGAGCTTCATTTGGTCGAAGGTATTTGCGAAGATGATATCTGCTGAACTGCCAGTGTCAATCAACACTCTGCTTATCTCCCATGCTGCTATGTTTGTTTTGATCACCATTGCGTCTGTGTGAGGGTAGCTTTCTAGCTGGAGATCTTCTTCTGTGAAGGTGATTGGGACTCTGGACTAATCTGTGTATTTTGCTGTGCCTTGGACTGCTACATTGTTTACCAGGTGGAGGTGATTCTTTTTCTGCTTTTTCGTTTGAAACTCCATTGATGATCCTCCGGCGATTGGCAGTATCATGCCTATTGTTGGCAGTGCTCCATGAGGGTTGACTTGGTTTTCTAGGTTTGGCTCGTTTTTTGGTGTTGGGGGTTGGTTGTGAGGTGGTGGCTGAGGCAGTTGTTGCATTTGCTGCTGTTGCGGTGGATACTCGAACCTGCTTTGGTTTTGTGGCGGTTGGTTTGTTTTGAGGTAGGTTATGTGGGGAGTTTTTGGGTTTATGTAGGTCAGGCTTGCCTCCGACCTATAGTTGCCCGCCGGGGGCTGCTGCGAGGGCGCTGACCGCCATGCTGGTAGGAATTCTGGGTAATAGGCGGAGGCCAGTGTGGAGGGATGTATTTGGTTTGCGTTTAGCGCTGGGTACATCGGGCAGTACTGCTGGTGGCCAGTTGTGTAGGTGGTGTTGACCTCTCTTGCGTTCTGCTATGCCGGAGGTTGGGCGGTCTGCTTGTTCTTCATTCTTTCCTGTGTCTCCTTTGTCTCCGGACAATCTTTGGTGCTGTGCCCTGCGCTTTCGCCGTGAAAAACACAATATGGCCTGCGTTGTTTGTGGTTGTGGTTTTTGTTCTAGTTTTTGCCTTGGTAGCCTTGCCTACCTTGGTTCCTGGTCTGGGTCTCTGGCCCTGCTGGCCCTGGCAGTTGCCCTTGTTCGGGGTGAGGTTGACCCTCGATGCTGAGCACCTGCCCCTGGCCTGGTTTCTGATTTGATGCGTTCTGGTTCGCATAGCTCTTCTGTGAGTTTTTGCTGTTGTTTTGATGTCTGTTTTGATCCTGCTCCTCCAGCCTTTTCTGGAGGTCATTGTCTGATCTGCAGTACTTCTCGAACTCGTCGTACAACTTGTGTATGGAAGTTGGTTTCTTTCTTGCTAGGTGTGCTGCGAACGGCCCGATTCGGAGCCCTTTGATCGCTGCTTCAATGGCGATCTCTTCTGGGACGTCTGGTGCCTTCGCCTTTAGTTGCACGAATTTCTAAAAGTAGTCGTGTAGTGTCTCTCCCTGCATTTGTCTGCATTGGAACAGATCTGTGGATGTCAGCGACTGTGCTGCTAGCCCCTTGAAGTTTGCCAATATCTTGTCCCGGAGATTTTCCCAGGAATAGACTGTGCTGGGTTTGAGCATGGAATACCAAGCCAACGCGTCACCTTCAGCAACAATAACAAATGACTTTGCCAGGACGGCGTCGTCTCCGCCGGTGGAGGCTACTGCTGCCTCGTAACTCATAATAAACTGATGGGGGTCTGTCTTTCCGTTGAACTTTGGTAGTGTGATTGACTTGTACGCCGTTGGCCATGGCGATTGTTGTATGCCTTCAGAGAGTGGGGACTTGGGGTCGATAGGCCTCCGCATCGCCTAAGATGGCGTCGTGGTTGGGCTGGTCACTGGCGGAGGCATGTTTGCGGTTGGTATTGCCGCGGAGGCTGGGATTGCGGAGGTTGACGCTGGTACTGCATGCTGCATACTTAGCATCTCAGCATGTAGGACTGCCAACTGCTGCCTTATTTCTGTTGCTTGTGCTGACGCTTGAGTGGCTTGCTGATTAGCTGCGAATGCTGCTGCCATTCTGTCCCTCTCTTGCTGCGCTCTTTGCAACTATGCTTGTAGCTGTTGCAGTTCTTGCTCGAGTGTTGTACCTGAGTTTGGTTGGGCCTCCGGATCTTGGATCTCTGGATGTTGGGGGTCCGGTTGTTGGCCTGGGCATCTGGTCTGGTGCCATCCTCCACTGGCGAGGTTGCGTAGGTGCTACTGGTGGTGCGCCTAGGCCTCCCTCTCTGACCCGTGGTCGTTGCTGCTCTGGTGGTGGTTTTTCTTTTCCCTGCCATCGTTGGTTTGTCTTGGCCAAACCACGGTGGGCGCCAATGTTGGAACTAGAGGTTCCGGACAGAGTGAGGGAGACAGGGGGCCTTCGCCCGCCAGGAGTCACCCTCGGGCGGAGGCTCGGGAAAGGCACGATAGGTGAACTTGTGGGAAGCTGGCACGAGAAAGTAGGGTTTCATTCATTCATTCACCATCCTCCCGCACGGTTACAAGTGTTCCCTATTTATAGGGCTCAACTACTTCCTAACGGAATTTATTACAATGCCCCTCAACTGCTATAGTACATTCCTGGAATATTCCGCCACTGGTCTCTCGTTTGCGGGGCAATCCTGCCACGCCGTCTCCAAGTAACGGGCCTTCATAAGCGGCCGGCCCACCGTGTTTCGATCTTCGGCCCAAAGGCTCGGGTTCCCGATGCTGACCTCCGTCTTCGGGGGCGCGCTGTCGCCTTGGCGGTTCTCCGCCGGTCCGGTCGGAGACGTCAACTGTGGGTCTCCGCCCGGCCGCGCGGGGGCCATGCTGGCGCACTCGCGTGGACCACGGGCGCCTGCGCTTGAGTACCTGCACACACTTAGGCAAGATTATTTGTTTAATTAGTTCAGAGGTAAGGCGGCCTCTGCCCTCATCGCCGGGCGCCCGTGAGCCGAAGCGGGGCGGCGTCCGCCTGAGCATAGGTCGGAGGTCTCAGCGCCCGGCCTGGGCGGAATTCGCGACAAGCCCGCCGAGCCTTGTGTAGTGCCCTACGAGCATAGCCAGGAAAGTTCCTTTAGTCAGCGCCAGGTCTCCGCCCCAAGACGGTCGAAGACGCCTTGGCGACACCGTGCTGTCGGAGGCCTTCGTCACCCGCCGAAGCAGTGTTACAACACTTTGGTCGCCATCCAAACGCTCCCTTACATACATGTTGCAAAACCAAGAATGGTTAGAAGGAAAAAGTGAAAATGATCTGGTTTAACAAAGAGAGAGGATTGATTAAATCAAACTATACGTTAGGGGGGCTAAGCAGACATCAGACATACTTCCAGGGAGTAAAATTAACTTATTCCTATAATGTTCTTGCAAAATCCAGATAAATCTTTTCCCTCTGTGGCAGTGCCTGGAAGAAATCACATGCCGGAACAGGGTTTTAGTCTTGTGGCCTTGTGGGCATGGAAAGCTGTAAGATGTACTTAGATGAGCTATGTAATGTGTTGAACCATTCATTGACCAAAGATGCAATAACACTTAAGTTCAATGTACTATTTAATGAGTCAGAATACCATGGCTCCTGCAATTTGTTTCTAGAATTTGTTATAACTGAATGCAATGTAACCTGCTAGTCTACATACTTTTCAGATTCATCAGTTGCTGACAGGTATTGGATTATGTGTTTCCTTTCCAGGCCTTAAGTTCTTCCAGGAGCTTCATTGGCGTGGAGGACTTTGTGGATGAAGACAACAGCAGGCCATACACATACAAGAAGGAGAAGAGATCTAAGAACCCCACAAGCACATTTCTTTCAAGCAGCGCACCATTGCCTACATGGAGCCCTTCACGCTCGACGTCTTCATTTCCAAGCGCTTCGTCTCGGCATCCCTTACACACCGATCGACTTGCAGGCAGGTCGCAGTTGCTGGGACCAACTCAAAGGACATCAAAGCGGAGCTCAAGTTGAGGTCCGACATCCCGGCCTGCCTGGCTGTGGGCCGTTTCCTGGTGGAGCGGGCGAAGGAGGCTGACGTGTATACCTGCACGTACACACCAAGGGAACGGGACAAGTTTAAGGGGAAGATTAGGGCGGTTGTTCAGTCACTGATTGATAACGGGATCAATGTGAAACTTTATCTTGATTGAGTTTGTGTTGTATGGGTAGATCTGTTGAAACTTGCAAATGAGTTATCTGTTGCTAGGGATGCAGGCTCGAATTATTTTTGTGTCATTAAGTCGATCCAAAAACTTGATCAAATGAAATGGAATGACATTTAAGGTAATTTGAGTGAGGGGAGAAATGAACTAGAATGATATTTGACTGTAATTAGTTAGCTGAGCTAAGACACATCATTGGATACCCACTTGCATCCCTGTTACCTTGTCTGTCGCATCCTTGTGACCTTGTCTGTTAGCGTGACCATAAATATACTTCGAGCTTTATTTATGGTGCCAAATAAGCTATCGTTCTCATTTTTCTTGTACTGTGTATTGTGATCGCCTAGAACTCTAGAAGCTGAGGCACTTGTCTATCAGAGCATTCTTTTTTGTGTGCAAGCAAGGACCAGCGCACCTGATTCTTTTTTTGCGTGCAAGCAAGGACCAGTGCACCTGAGGCAGGTTGGTGGGAATTGAGATTGTTTTATTTATGAAAAAATGGTAGCGTTTGACGCGAAGGCAATTGGTAATGGTCCTTCGAAACTTGAGAAATTCGCTGCCATTCCCCCTGGGCACGCCGGGCTGTCGCCGCCGGACTTGGCAGGTTTAGGTGGCATGCGTTTGGCAGCGCGCGTGACGTTGTGAGTGTGAGGTCTCGGATCTCGACCAGCGCCTCCCCTGCGGTGCCTCTCGCCGTCCTCCCTCGCTATCATCGTCAGTAGTCGTATTCGCAGTTCGCTGCACTTGCCACTTGCCCTACGCGCTCTGCCTATGCCTAGCATCAGCGTGCGCCCCGCGCCCAACACGAGATGTATGAATACTAGTACAGAGCGCGCGCCCCTGCGCGCGTGGGTTAGTAGAGTGCAGGCTATGTATGTAGAAAACACATGCTTCGTACACACACAGGCAAATTTTAGTGCAACATATCCATGAATGAGTCATAGTTGTTACATTATATTTAAAAAATCTGTAATATGCCCTCCATGTTGACAGCAAGAGGTAGGCAACCAACTGACAATAATTGTTGCATCCAAGGCTTATCGTGTTACAACAACAAGGACAATAAAAACTAAAAAAACATCCATCAATGACAGATTAACTGGACACAGTAAGCAGGTAACCAATGTACATGCTCAGATTTGTACTGGAAGATCATACATGGAGAGAGTGGTCCAAAGCTGTAGTATGAATGTACCTGCAGGCTGCAGCTCACATGGGAGAAGAGAAGCTCAGTACGACAGTCAGTTTCTAATGAAAACAAAAATTCTCTACTCCTTACTACAATGAAACTGGGCCACGCAACAAGCAGATAGAGGACACTGCAAAATTTGGGTCACGCAAAGTCAAAGAGATAATGCAGCTACGTTCCTAGAATAAACCAATTTTGTCCATTAAAGAAAACAGAAACGAAATGCAAGAACCAATAAATTCTCAAGATTTATTTATTTCCATTTTTCTATTTCATTTTGCGAATTGGATCCATGGCGTCCCTCCTCCAAGGGGACTGCAATCTATCATGCTCCAGCCTCTCAGCATAGGCCACTTGAGGTTTGTGGTCCATTTTCTCCACCAGCAGTCCAGCACCATCGCTGCCGTGTGGCGACGCCTCTGCTCGTCGCTGTTGCTCCCAGTGTCAATCTCGCACCGTTCGAGCTGCATAAACTATATTCCCATACATAGAAATACTACCAGAATTCCTCTAACAAATTATGCCTATTTACTGGGATCGAAGAAATACTGCATTCAACAACCAAAGACTTGTGTTGCTGATATGAAATTAGGGAACAAAGCAAGCATATGAGATAGGTTGACAGCATATAGCTCAAACAGCACACAAGAAATTCCAAACAGTGACAAGCATGCCAGGTCTCATAGTAAACTGAGAACTACCCAGCAGGCTCGTCACCATGGACATTACAGGAGGCTGGGTACTGGTAAAATGCAGGCAAGTAATAATAGAGGAATGTTGCTTACCAATGGATCCTTTAGATAGTTACCACATAGCCCAATTTCCAAGATGCATAAGTACCTCTCTCCCAATAGGCTCGTCACCATGAATATTTGTAATGAACTGGATGTGTAGCACAAATTAAATCAAAAATAAATTCGTGGTACCTTTAATACTAATAATATCAGGATAAAGAGCCTAGACAGTTCAACATCGATTGTAGCTGAATAAGAAAATAAGGTATTATTAACTCAGCAGAGTAGTTGTCAATGCTTTGTTGCAGGAAAGCCATCTGTAAGTATGGATCTAGTATAGTTAATTCAGCTGAGTAATTGCCATGGCACATTGGCATTATACAGTTTCATTTCACCTTTGTCACCGCAGAGAAATGTGTTAAGTGTGAACATGTGTACCTAGCCTTTTATATATATATAAAAGCGGCTACTGAATAAACTCAGAACTATGTAGTCCATTAGAAAGAGGCAGATTGCACCGTCTCAGAGCAGGCAACAATCCAGGCAACAATTAATGCCTGCTGTATCTAAATAGAATATCATACCGACAACCAAATGGAGGAATTAGTAACACAAGATGCTGCATCTTGACTGAATGAAGCGATTATATACAATACTCGATGTCACAGATTGTCCAGGTTGGTAAATAATTTCAACACTGACTTGTTTTTGGTTCATGGTAGTGTATTTATATGCTGAGCATCATCTATGCTGACACTACAGCCTCTCAGTCTATGACATAAAGCATCAAAGAGTGTACACTGATGAATTAACGTAAAAAAAGGCAGGGGGAATGGGAACAAAGAACGAGGTAGGATCTTTTATAAGTAAGATATACCACACTTCAGAAGTAAGAAAGTTTAAATCAAAATGCCTAATCCTGTAAAATGCCTAATCCTGTAAGATATACATAGCAAAAGGAAGAGATTCGTCGAATCTGTAAGCATAACACGAAACGCAGATGAACCACTTGCTCCTAATATTTGTCCACTGGGATGAGGAACCCATGGTTGAAATGGTCTAGTAATGTTCAGACAGCAGAAATAACTTGCTTTTGTTTGAATAATTCTCTTAGGACCATGAGGCAATTACTACCTTATTTAGGCAGCCAAGGCCTGTAACAAAAAGGTTGATGATAGTATTGGCATAGAAATATAAAGATAAGATAGCAGGGATAATAAAGGTAATTATTTTTATTCATAGAACTGCTATTCATTTTTCTTTGATGAAATAGAACTGCTATTCGAGTGCGGGTAAGGTAGCGTGTAAGATTGATGGGATAGGCATCAGAGTGAATTTTTATCTATGAGTCTAATTAGGCACCATGAATATTCTTTGAAATGCATGGAACTACATAAATTTGCAAATAAGAAAGCAAAGAAGGATCTCATGAAGATTTTGGCCAAGCACATGCGGATTGGCAGATGTTGGTCTAGGTATCCATGAATAGAAAAATATGTGTAAATGTACAAATTATTAACCAAAAAGTAAATACGACATCTACCAGAATGGTACAATGACTATAGATTAGCTACATATTCAGTGTGAGCTTACTGGCAGATGATGCAGTGATGATTTGGTGCTCAAGAAATTTCATTTCATAGCCTAGCAGGTGAGGTATCCTTTTTCTCATTTTAACAAACGGAGAAGAATGTTGAATGTAGCCATGTAAAGCAAAGATAAAGATTCGTTGGTTAGCCTATGGAGGGTACCTTTTTTCATGTTGCTATAGACCAATAGGTACTTAGCAATAACCAGGTCATCATCCCCATTTTATGACTCAGGAAGGCAAACCTAAAAAAGTGGCACCAATTCTTGTACTGAATGTTATGTTTCTTGGCATGCCATACTATAGAACCTATGGATATCAGATTCAGATTCGTGAACTCAGAAGTTAGAATACAAATGAGGGAAAAAAACTGAATTAATAATGCTGTTCTGCAAATGAAACTATGACGCAACTAAATATTAAATGAATTGGAACATACGGATATAGATCTAAAGGTTACTGATTGCTAAATGTCCACTATTTTTGAGAAGCATACATGGAAATCAAATAGTTAGCAGAGCAATTAAGGAGATTTAAGTAAACAAATCAGAACCATGAGTTCCGTGTACTCAAGGTAATGTACATTAGTACGTCTAACTGTGATAGTAAGGGAAATTAGGTGACACGCCTTGCCTTCGGCAGTGCATGTTGAGGATGAAAATTAAGGGGGGTAATATTATTTTGAAAGACAGTTGCATATTCAGTAACTATAGGTTGCACACGTCGCTTTGTGATGCTTCTGTAATTGTAGATATAATATACCGATAATTCAAGCTGATCCCAACAACTGAACAATTATTTTAGAATTCCCAAGCTGATTCTGGTAATATAGTACACAGTGTATGTATAGTAATTTGAAAACAGAGATTGGAGATTGGCTCATGCGAAATGTTGAGAAATAATTTTAAATTAGCAGGCGCCGCACCAACTTAATGGCGGAACTCTAAATAGTGGAAATTAAATTCAAATATCCGCTTAGAACTAATCTTGACAGATGTGTACTGAGAGGAAATCTACCTGTAAATCAGGAAACTCAAGAGAATAGAACCAAGCAGGCAAGAAGGAGAGGAGGAGAAGGCTTACCTGACGACGCAAATAATGACGTAGGGGTGCCTAGGTTGCTCTGGGATCCTAAATGAAAGAGCTGATGCTGGATACACAGGCGGTGCAAACTCTGAACATTTCTATAGAGCCATGATGGCCCAACATTGTTAAAAGAAGCACACTGGACCAGAAAAAATTCAGATGTAGACATGTGTCGAACAAGGAGAAGGTAAAAGTATAGAACATATTGCACTCGGTCTAAAGACTGCATGAGAAAACAAACAGAACTGGCACTTTGGAAGCTAAAAAATCAACAATTCAAATGGGAAAAATGGCGCCTACAGGCACATTGTTATGATATTTCCACCGTCGGTTAGACCGATAGAGAGGCCTCATAAGAAATGAAACAGGCAGTTGAAAACCATCAATGTTG